TGTGGTTGCATAAAAATAGAAATGTGCCTTTTGTTTTACAATTTACATGGTTGATTTACCTTCCTTTCCACAGCTCTAATATCTCCCCACTGGTTCTGACACACACACTGCTGGGAAGCTGGGGGAGGCAGGCATTTCTGGTTTTGTTTTTTCCACTCCTACACCTCTGTACCTAGTCAGTGCTCAATAATATTTGTTGAATAGTCATGTACCTTTCTAGGAACTGGAGTTTTAATGATAAGCAAGGCAGACCAGTCTCTGACCTCGAAGGGTTTGCATTCTGTTGGTGGCGCTATGGGGAGGGAACAAACAAGTAAACGAGCAGATGAAATTAACTCAGATTTGGCAAGCGCCATGAAAGAACTCACAGGATATGATAAAAGAGTGCTGGAGAAAGGTGGGTGACTTTCGAGAGAGTGGCCAAGGAGGGCCGGTTCATTGCTAACACGTAAACCCCTCGGGTATATGGACCTCATCCACCCTGTTCATGGCTGTGATGAGATTTTCCAGGGTGTGGGTGGAGGTTCTCAATTAGAAACTTGTTGAGAAATGGGACCTAGGAGATAGAAAAGTGGAGATTTAAAAAAATCACCTATATTACTAATAAAATGAGCTAACACGTCCTCCCTAAATAAGAAACACGTAAGCCATCAATGGCACAGTGGACAGCCACTGCCTTCCCCACAGGGACAGAGCCTGCCCCAGTCAGCTCACTTCAGCAGGAGGCAGGCCAGGACTTCCAGGCAAGCAGGTAGGGTCCCAGGGAGCCGCGCCAGGTGGCCCTGCTTCTAGCACACTCCGCTCCTCCTCCCAAGTCCACCAGGCAGCTCCCTCACTCCTACCCTGGGGGACGTGAGTGGAGATGGCAGCGTGAAGCTGGCAGGCGCGCTCAGGCTCCCTCTCCTGCGGGGGACATAAAGAATGAGTCGCTTCTGCCCACGGCGCCCTGGTGGGTGAAAACTCGGATTCCCTGCTGTGGGGAGAGGGGAGTGCGGTGGCCTGATGGCTCCCCGGACCCACAGGGTGTTTGTGAGAGGCCACGCTTCCCACCGGCTGACCCCACGGGCACTGAGCGATCCTAACCCAGGCCCATGACGCAGGAGGGGGTACTTCTTGGCCTCAGGACAGCTGTGGGCCTGGCCAAAGGCCTTCTTAGAACTGCCTGCAGCCTCTTCCCGCCCAGTGCCTGCGCCTCTCGTCCCCTCTCCTCTCACTGGAACAGACCTGTACAAACCTGGTTGCTCCCCACCTTCTCTAACCTTTGTCCTCATGTGCATTTCCACAAGTCAAGCTCTAGCATGTCTAATGCTGTCCGGGTGTCTGCTTCCTTGGGGACCCACACAAACACACATGTGGTATCCTCAGCACCTAGGAAAGGGCCTAGGAGGCAAAGTGCTTAATAAATGTTTCTTAGATGAATTAATGCAGGAACGAAGAGATGACATTTGAGCTAAAGCCTAAACAAGAAGGAATCAGCCATACAAACACCAGGGGAAGAGTTTATCAGGCAGAGGGGACACGGATGCCAAGGCCTCCGGGAGGGAAAGAGCTTGTCTCACTGAAGCGCGAAGGCCAGTGGGGCTGGAGCCCAGGAGAAGGCGAGTGTGGTGTAAGACAAGGCAAGACAGGCAGAGGTGACCAAGCGCCATAGGCTCTTACGAGTCATGGTAAGGAGCTCGGGTTTTATTCGAGAACGGTGGGAGTCCGGCTGCTGTGGCTCAGTGGTTGAGCGATGACCCATGAACCAAGACATCACTGGTTGGTTCCCAGCAGGACACATGCCTGGGTTGCAGGCTCGGATCCCCAGCAGGGGGCATGCAGGAGACAGCCAATCGATGTTTCTTTCTCATTGATATTTCTCTCACCCACTCTCCCTTCCTCTCTCTCTAAAAATCAATAGAGACATATTTTTAAAAACAAAAACAAGAACAATGGGACATCACTGAGGAATTCTGACCAGGTGAATGACATGACCTGATTTATGTTTTAAGGTCATGGAGACCGCTTTCTGAAGAGTACATTGAAAAGGGCCATGAGCAAAACAGTACCAGACAAGAAGTGATGGTAGTTTGGGTTCAAAGACTTGCAGGAGAGTTGAAGAGAATAAGTTTATGATTATTTGCTACTATAATTTGCTGACAGACTGCACGAGGGAAGGAGTCAATGTTGATGCCAAGGTTTTTGGCGTGGGCAGCTGGATAGCTAGTGACATTTGCTCTGGAGGTTGGGGAAAAAAGGGGAAGATTTATGGAGGCAGCCAGTACAAATAGCAATCAGGCAGTGGGACACAGGAGTAGAACTCAGGGAAGAGATTTTGGCTACAGACATGTACTTGGTCGTCAGCATATATACGTGCTCGTTAGAGCTATGGGACAGGCTAAGAGCGCCTAGGGAAGCGGTATTGGCGGGGGAGAAGACTCAGATTGACCCCTGCAGCTCTATGGTATTTAAAGGTCAGTGGAGGGGGCAGCGAACGAACCTGAGAAAGAGCTTCCAGGGAGAGAATGAACCTGAAAAAGAGCTTCCAGCGAGAATGAACCTGAGAAAGAGCTTCCAGGGAGAATGAGCCTCAGAAAGAGCTTCCAGTGAGGCGAGAGGAAAACCAGGAGAAGGTGGCCCATGGANAATGAACCTGAGAAAGAGCTTCCAGTGAGAATGAGCCTCAGAAAGAGCTTCCAGTGAGGCGAGAGGAAAACCAGGAGAAGGTGGCCCATGGAAGCCACTATAGGGGGAAATATTTCAAAAGTGCTCAACTGTGTGGAATGCTGCTGAGAAGGCCAATAAATAAATATTGGATTCAGAAATGGAACTGGTCTTGGCCAAATGGAGGTTGCTGGTAACCACGACGAGAATTTTCTCAAAATGGTACAGAGGCTAGACGGGGCTGAGAGATCAGCGAGGCGGTGGGAATATCATACAGAGCCAACTCTTTTGAGCGTTTTGCTGTCAAGGGAAGAGAGGAGGCATAGCCCTTAGGAGATATAGGGTCAAGGTAGGGGTTTTTGAAGTTAGTGTTCCTAAATCAGATATGTGTCCGGTGGGGAGGGAGAAGATCATGCAGAAGAAAGGAGGTAACCCTGGACCAAAGTCTTTAGGAGGTGGAAGAGGAAGGCATCCAGAATCCAAAGGGTTGACTTTTGACGGCAGTAGAGAAAACAGAATATACTTACAGATGTAGGTAGCTTTGTAGATCCAAAGGAAGGTAACCAGGAGGCTTGGTAAATCTAGCTTTGTAGACCATCAGGAAGATCAATTTTGATCTAGCCAACTCCCTACGTTCTGGCACTGGAATCAAAGCTATCGTAAAAGATTACAAGTTCTAGAATTCACCTTTACTAATGACTTTTAATTGACTAGGAGGTTATTTTTTATTTTCAAGCAAAAAAACACCCCATACACTTCTTCCCCTTTGTACAGTAACAAAATCTGCTCAAAGTATACCTTTATTTTCAGTCTTATGCTTCAGTTTGTTCTATGGTCTCCTCCTTTATCTGTTACTAGTAATAAAAAGTATTTTTGCTCACTGCCAGGTAATTCTAAGAACTAATTTGTCTTAGGCCCTGATGGTTGGTAGTTCCTAAGTAAGGGCAGAATCTTTTGCATGGTCCAAACGGGGTAATGTCATGTTCAAATGGAAGAAACTGAGCAAAACAATGAAAATATGGGCTGTTATGAACACCTCTGAGACACTGTTACTTTTAATATTGTGGGAAAGCTTCCCCTAAGGCAGGGGTGGGAAACTTCTTTCTGCCAAAGGCCATTTGGATTATAACATCATTCAAGGGCCATACAAAATTATCAGCTTAAAAATTAGCTATGAATAAAGCTCCTAGATTTATTGAATTTTGAGTCCCGCCTGCATTTGCCATGGCAGGGCCAGACCAAAAGATTTTGAGGAGATTTCGATGACCCCATAGGGCCCACAGGCCGGACGTTCCCCACCCCTGCCCTAAGGGAAGTGGTAGAAACTCCAGCACTTAGGTTAAAACGCATCTGTAAAAGGCACTAAAAATGAATTAGAGGGATTCACTGTCAAAAACCCTGGGAAGTACATATATGACCAGAGAGACATTATCTCTAATTTTTATGATTCTACAAAATTATATTTGCAAAAAGAGTACTTTAGAGTTGAAGAAGAAAGGGAATGGAGCTCTCATGTGAATAGTAAAAACATCCCTGTATTTCTTAGCCTTAAAATAGTGACAACAGCTTTACAATCAACTCTATGTCAGAAAATCCAAATGTCATAAATCAGAAAAGTTTAAAGCTAGATAGGACATGGGATTTATGGTGAACAAAATACTGTGACATGATCTGCACTATATCACTCTCAGCAAATAAATATACAATCAGTAGTTTAGCTTACATTTTTTTAACAGCCACTACGTGCTACACTATATCCTATAATACACATAGACGGGTATTTGTGTGATAGGTAAGGAAATTTGGGGAAGCAAGATTCCTAATCATTTTCCTATTTGACCTGGGGCAGGCTATTGGGAAGGCCATTTCTTGTAATATTTGAATATTGTTATGAACAGAACTGAATTTTATGCCCTCCCCTGCCCCCAAATTCATCTGTTGAAGCCTTCTCCCCCCCCTCCCCAATGTGATGGTATTACTTTTGGGAGGTAATTAGGATTAGATGAGGTCATAGGGTATGGAGCACTCATGAATGAGATTAGTACCCTTATAAGAGTTACTAGAGAGCTTGCCCCCAATCTCTGCTCTCAGTCACAAAAAGTCAGCAGTCCGCAACCCAGAAGAGGGCCCTCACCAGATAAATAAATTTTCATTGTTTTTAGGCCGCTCAGTCTATGATACTCTTTTACAGCAGCCCAAACTAAGACAAATAGTAAATGATTAACTATGCCTTGTACGAGTGAATGTATTGCTTTAAAAGCACAAGTGACAAAAGAAAAAATAAACTGTTGAACTACATTCAAATGAAAAAATTTGTGCTGCAATTGATACTATCAAGAAAGTGAAAAGACAACCCACAGGATGAGAAAAAATATTTGCAAATTATATATCCGATAAAAGGCTGGCATCCACAATGTGTAAAGAATTCTTACAGCTCAACAATAAAAAGACAATAATTCAAAAAGTGAACAAAGGACTTAAAGAGATATTTGTCCAAAGAAGATATAGAAATGGCTAAGGGCACATGAAAAGATGGCTCAACATCAGTAGCCCCTGGAGAAATACAAAACAAAACCGCAGTGAGATACCACTATACTTAAAAAAGACAGACAGTAACAAGTGCTAGTGGGGATGTACAGAAACTGGAAACTTCATACATTACTGGTAGAAATGTAAAATGATACAGCTGCTTTGGAAAACAGCTTGTTAAGTTGCTCTAAAAGTTAAACATATAACCCAGCAATTCCACTTCTAGGTATATACCCAAGAGAAATGAAACCCTATGTCCACACAAAAACATGCACACGGATGTTTACAGCAGCATTATTCGTAACAGCCAAAAGGTGGAAAGAACCCAAATATTCCTTTACTGATGAATGGATAAACAAAATGTGGTATAGCCATACAATGGGATATTATTTGGCATTAAAGAAATGAAGCACTGACATGCTACAACATGGATAAACCTTGAAAACATGTGCTAAGTGAAAGTAGCTGGACACAAAAGGCCACATGATACAGGATTCCATTGATGTGAAATGTCCAGAACAGGCAAATCCATAGAGACAGAAACTAGATTAGTGGTTGTCCAGAGGGAGGGGAGGGGAGCCTGGGGAGTGACTGTTAATAGGTATGCAGTTTCTTATGGGGTGATGAAAATGCCCAGGAGTCATTGATGACAGCTGAACCACCGTGAATACACTGACCATTATATACTTTAAATGGCTGAATGGTATGTGAATTATAGGAGAGTAATGATGTTTAAAAAAAGAACATATGAACATCAATGTCACCAGGAGTTCAAATTCTGACTTCCACAGAATTCCTTTCCTGGAGAGCAGATAATATGCAAAGCCAGCAGTGGTCTAATTTTACTCACAAATTCCTTACATATCTAGCTGTCAGGTTACTATTTTAAGCAAGTACCAAAAAAAAAAACAACAAAAAAAATCCTAACTCTTTTCATTTTGGAACGCGATCTTTAAGATTAGGGTTTAGCCCTGGCCAGCTGGCTGAGTTGGCTGGAGCATCGACCCATGCACCAAAAAGGTTGCGGGTTCGATCTCTGGTAGGGGTGAGTACAGGAGGCAGCCGATTAATATTTTTCTCTCATGTTGTTCCTCTCTCTCTCTAAAAAAAAAATAAAAAAAATCAATAGTAAAACATATCCTCAGATGAAAATTAAAAAAAAGATTATGGTTTAGTAAGCCATCCAATACATTATATTCTTCCTATGTGGCAAAATCAGGAATGACATGATACTGCGGAGTGCTCAGTTCAGATTTGTATATTATAAAATACGAGTAGTGCCCGGCCGGGCGTGGCTCAGTGGTTGAGCGTCGACCTAGGATCCAGGCGATCAGGGTTCGATTCCCGGTCAGGGCACATGCCCGGGTTGTGGGCTCCATCCCCGCCCGGGTTGTGGGCTCCATCCCCAGTTGGGGGTGTGCAGGAGGCAGCCGATCAATGACTCTCATCATTGATGTTTCTCTCTCTCTTCCTCTCCTTTCCTCTCTCGCAAATCAATACAGATATATTTCCAAATAATAATAATAAAATAAAATACGAGTATTGTTCAGAGAACAGATTGCTGGTTGCCGAGGTGGAGGTGGGGAATGGGTGAAGGTGAAAGGTACAAACGTCGTGGGATGTGATGGGACTGTAGCTAACAATACTGTATTGTATATTTTAAAGTTGCTAACAGAATAATCCTTAAAAGTTCTCATCAGTAGAAAAAAATCGGAACTACATGTGGTGACGGATGTTAAACTTATTGGGCTAATCACGTCACAATATACACATGTATCAAATCGTTGTTGGACACCTAAAACTAACGTTATATGTCAATTATATCCCAATTTAAAAAAACACTGTACCCTTGTCTAGCTGAGGACAGTTTCTTTCCATGGACCCCCAAAGTCTCCCTGGTACACGTGTGCCCACTTCGAAGTTTTCTGGGCGTCGCCCATTTATACCTCCAGATTCTACATCGTTTTGGAAGCCACTTTAGGAGAAAGCAACGCAGAAACTCTGTCCGAAGCGACGCGAAAGGGAGTCCTCCTCGAGTTGCAGGCGGACGCGCAGAAGCGGCGCTTTCGGAACCGGGGCGGCCAGGCTGCCGGCGGTCGCTCGCCCCACGAGAGGCGGCGGGTTCCGTTTCCCGTCGCTTCTCGGCGGCATCCTGGAG